TCTCATTTAGGCATTATTAATCATTAATAATCCATGAAAATCACATTTAAATACTTTAGGTAATCTTATGAAATTAACCCAAAAATTATAAGCAATATAGTCAGTCATCCTCACCTTATGAAGTGCTGAAATAGTTGCCTTTATTAAGCCATCCGATCAATCCCCGTTCTAAACCGATTGGAGATGAAAATCCTGGGCAGCAGACGAAAGCCGGGCGGCTTTCACAAAAGGTGGGCGGCTTTCGTGGTCTGCAGCTACGAACAGCCTCCTATACTTGGCGGTTTCCGGCGGTTTCAACTCCTATCGATTCCACGACTCTTCTAAGTTAAATACCACCACTTTATAACATTATTCCACACTTTTAAACGTGTAGAACTTCATGTTAAATCCATCATATGATTTCTTAAAAATCATACAAGAATAAGACTAGTTAATGGTTGTTACCTCACTTCTAGCTTTCTTCTTCTTGGATTTCCCTTTGTTGATGTTTTCCTCAAGCTTGAGCTTTGTGAAAGGCTTCCTCCCAGAGCTCTCTCACCTCTCTCACTCTCTTTGCTTGGGTTGTGCGGATGAGGAGATGATAGGGAGACATTTCCTCCCAATTATGAAATGGAATGGGTCATGGGGGGGTGACCTTTGTCTCAATGAGACTTCCTATGTCTTGTCCGCCCCTCCCCTTATGTTTAGCATCAACTCCACTATTTGGAGTGTACAACTCATGTAAGAAATATTCCAATTGGGTGTAGGAAGCCCTTCCCAATTATTCCTGCTATTTTTGGCAGGTTGGGCCAAAATAACACTCGGGTCGTCCAAACATTTTTATCAACTTTAGTTGGCACTTTATTGGGCCTCTATGATTATCACGATAACCCAAATAAATACTTGGTAGCCCATTTTCATTTTTATGGACCCGATAAAGAATTTAATTAATCATGCATTAATCAAATATACCAATTTTGTCACACGAATTTATTCGCTAGGAAATTCAAATACGTATCAAATTTCAAATTCAAGTATATCCGGGTGCGGTGTCACATGACGATTCTGCTAGATATTACTACCTCCGTCCTGCTAAGATTTTCTCATTTTACCATTTCGGTCCGTCCCACTAAGATTCTCTCATATCTTATTTGGTAAAGTTTGTGTGGCTCTAAAGCATTCTTACTTTATTCTTACTTTATCAATGCAATATCAACAACATAAACCACTTTTTATAGATTTGTGTGTCACTCTCTCATGTCTCATTGTTAGTGGGATGGAGGGAGTATGTCGTTACAAGGATCTATATGGCCAATGATTGTTGCGTCAAACTCGCTTGGTGGTTAGCGATTCGTATTGCTCTTTCAGGGATGATCATCTTTGAGTCTGGTCGTAGGGTTGATAGTGCTAGTTGGTTAAGAATAGTTGTTGTCAAGGTTAGTCTTTGTGAGTCTGTTGTAACGGTCTGAGTCTTAACGATATTAATATAAGTGGTTTCTTTTGATGATCAAAAATAAATTATTTTTTTATGATTTTTTAGGCTAATATGAGAGTTAAGATAATGTGAAATCAATTATTTACATTTTTTAAATATGTATTAAAAACTTCTAAAAATTAAAATTAAATACTCTTTGAAAAATGTGATAAATAATTAGAGGAAACGTATTAGTCGGAGTTATTTCATTTCCTAACGGATGTCATTATCAACGGTGATGGACTAAAAAAACTCAAATTTAAATTTTAGGGATGAAAAAAAATGTAGGAACATAATTCAAAATATAATATATTTACAGGGAGTAAAAACGCATATTAAATATTGTAAGCGCAAAATAATCTTAAACCATATTGTAAGAAGAGAGATTTGTAGAATATTACCATATACACACATTATAGTATTTCCATATTTGATTAGTTCAATGGACCACAATACTCCTATCATTGTTACGGAGTACTTGTGTACTACAAAATTATAAAATAAACTAAAATTTTAGACGGTATTGGTTGACATAAAACAAAAGACCAAAATGGAGATGCGGGGTATCGATCCCCGTACCTCTCGCATGCTAAGCGAGCGCTCTACCATCTGAGCTACATCCCCAAGTTGCTCTTTACTTGTGTTTAGTAAAAGTATAAATTATTTTGACACACATGAAGTCAGAAGAGTCATGGCTATTTCTTGAAAGACTTCGCTTTTATGGAATTTATAAAACAAAATTAATTGGAGTCTTGGCATAAACTGTGGCCACATAGATGATACGCCAAATGAAACGAGTGCAAAAAACCAGCTATGATTCGATAATTCAATACTAATACTATGTTGAGGTTATGTATGATAAAAAAAATATGGAGGTTTTGCTGTCAATTAATTCAGGACCGTTAGATATTGACTTTGTTCGATAAATGTTTCTCAACCATTTTGGCTTATTTGAACTATTTCAGCTGGTTAAAATTAATTGATCAGCTAAAATTATTGTCCAAAAACAATGTGCTTTGAAATAAAATTTCAAATCAAGAGTCATTTTTCTAAAATCTCGCTATAGATATTCTTGATGGCAAATTGATGTTTCTTTTTTTTCTTTTCTTTTGTGTAGTTGTATACTCTAGAAAACTAGCTTCCTCGAATAAATAAGGCTATGTTATGGTACTTCAACATACTCAACATTCTTTGTTATCTTTTTTGTTAATTATTCATGTAGCAAATGTAAAGGATAAACATTAGTTAATAATTATTTATTCTATTATTATTAAATGTAATTAGTTATCTTTTTTGTTAATTATTCATGTAGCAAATGTAAAGGATAAACATTAGTTAATAATTATTTATTCTATTATTATTAAATGTAATTAGTTTTCATGTATATCTCTTGTTGTATTTATCCTTATCTACACTACTGTACTAGCTATTAATACTCATGTAACACACGGTTTTAGTCAATGGAAAATACTTCATTCCTTTATCATTGATTTGGTATCAAGAGCCTTATAGATTCATCTCTATACAATTTTTTTTCTTCGGCTTTTCTGCCATGACAATCACCCCAACAACTACTCTGGTTCATCTCAATGCTCCTACCAACTTCCCCATCAAATTATCCTCCGGTAATTTTCCGGTTTGGAGGCGCCAAGTTGAAGCCACGTTAAAGCCACGTTAATAGGCTACAATCTCCTCTCTTATGTGGACGGCACTCTTGCTGTTCCATCTGCATTTTCGGATGATGCCAAATTGGTCCCAAATCCGTGCTATTCTATTTGGTATTGTCAAGATCAGATCTTGATTAGTGCTCTTCTCAGTAGTTGCACCGACAATGTTCAACCTTTACTCTCGACATCCATCACTGCGAAAGAAGCTTGGGATACACTTCTCACAAGTTATGCCAATGCATCTCCTGGACGAATTCTTGCTCTCAAGAGCAAATTATCTCGTAATCCGCGAGGTAACCGATCCATTGCCGACTATTTGAAGGATATGCAAGAAATTGCCAGGGACCTTGCCTTGGCTAAAAGTCTCGTCTCGAACACTGATCTTCATATCTCCATTCTCAATCAATTGGGGGATGATTACCGTCCCATTATCAGTGCCCTCCGGATTCGCAATACTCCGACCTCCATGTTGGAACTATCTGAGATCCTCACAGATCATGAGCGTTTTGTCAAAGAGTCCGATGACAATGCCTCCACACTCCTTGCCACAGCTAATGTCACCCAAAGACAAACACTCGACCGTTTTCAGTCCAGTGACACTCGCCGGCGTGATGCTAATTTTTCTCCTGGAGGACGGCCACTTAACCAAGGCAGAGACGCCAGATCCATTAAAGTTAAACATCGTTCTACCATTAATCAATGAATTGTGCTATCATACATATGCCCTGTTATCAAACTTTGTTGAGAAAACCAAGTATCCAAGTGCGGCTCACAAATCAATTCACATATTTATTCGGACATTACCAAAAAAAAACTTAAAATGATTCATGAATGCAGATTTAGAAGTTTTTTCAATTAAGTGATTATTATTTCATCTCCTATAGTGGAATTAACGAGTGAAAACAGATCAAGCTTTTGTCTAGATAGGTCAGGAATTTTTTGTTATGTTCAAGTCTAAATCTAGCCTGCTACTTATTAAGGACATATTTTTGCTTCAGCCTGACTTGACTTACTTAGGAGTATAATTTCACCCGAACCTTGTTAATAAAATATACTAGTAAAATATACTCCGTAAAAAATAGAATCAAGTCCAAAAAAAGTGAAAAAATCTTTTAATACACCATAGAAGTTTATGACAAAAGTAATTAAACAGCTTGATAATACTCCGTAATACACTAGTTTTATAGCTTTTGAACTTGTTTGTATTCAACTTGAAGGACTCAAAAGTTTTAAATAGATACGGAGTATATTTACGAGTAATAAATACGGAGTAATACACTCACATTATATGCCTTTTTGAATGTAAATATACAAAAGCTCAAGTCTAGCTTATGTACTAAACATGAAAGGACGCCAAGCCTATTTACAATGTTAGGGGGGAACTAGAGGGAGTCAAAAGAGGAGGAAGATGAACTAAACAATGACGATATTGTATCAAGGCAATTTCACAAACAAACTGTATGCATTCATTGAGCAATTCAAAATTTGTATTTTCTATTGTTATTCAACCTGCACAACTTACCTATCCAAATAAAATTTCTAGCACTTGTACTCTCTACGGTTCATTAAGTTGAAAAGCACAAATCTAACAAGCCCTTAGTTTAAAGCATAAACATGTTTAAAAAATGCTATTGAAATTGCAAACAGATCATATATCATGTATTTTGGGGTCATTTAAAGAAATAATTTCGAAATTGGAGGGAAATAGTTGAACATACATACTTAAGAAGATTTTGAAGGACACTTGTGAAAACGAACACGAGAAATGCGTAAACTAGAGTATTGGAGGGTATATGAGTTAGAAAGGTTCAAACGTTTTTGTTTGTATTAGAAATTTTATTTGTATAGCAGTATAGGTAAGTTGTGCAGATCTGGATTGCATTTTCTATTGTTATTCCACAAATTTTTCCAGCGGCTTCCAGAAGAGTTCCACATTCAGAACTTCAAAATGTATAAGAACAACATATGAACTACAGGAAAGTTGGCCTTTTTTGTATTAAAGGTGCAAAAATGAAGAACACCGTTGCTTTCAAATCATTCTTAGATTTATACAAACATAATTTAAGAAAGGGGAAGTAGAGACGACAGGGAACATATAGCTAAAGCAACCTAACCTACTGAACCCAATCTACTAAGAGAACAAGGAGAACAGCACCAACTCCAAAACGCTCCTTATCAGTCTGCATTCATCTAGTCTTCTTCGGTTGTCTTGCCAGCGGCCTTCTTGGGAAGAAGAAGGTTGTGAATGTTAGGCATAACACCGCCATTGGCGATCGTCACATCTCCCAGCAGTTTGCTCAACTCCTCGTCGTTCCTCACTGCCAATTGGATGTGCCTTGGCACGATCCTCGTCTTTTTGTTGTCCCTCGCCGCATTTCCAGCCAATTCAAGTACCTAATTGAAACAAACGCGGTTTATTAGGGGAGAAAAGTCTACGATGCTCGCAAACCCTAGAAGCGCGAATTGGGGAAACGATTGCAAAAGAGGAGAGATCGATTAAGAGAGATGAATGAGGTTTACCTCTGCCGCAAGGTATTCGAGGACCGCAGCGAGATACACCGGAGCTCCGGCACCAACTCGCTCTGCGTATTTCCCGGCCTTGAGGAACCGGGCGATACGGCCGACGGGGAACTGGAGCCCCGCCTTGCTGCTTCGGGATACAGCCTTCTTCGCGGCGGATGAGCCTAGAGTTTTTCCACGTCCTGCCATTACTTCAAACGCCGCCGCCGCCGCCGCCGGTGGGTGAAACTGTGGCTGATCTATATGCCTGAGATTGGCAGGTTGAAGATAGAGAGGAATAACAGCGGTAGTACGAAACCTCAGAAGGGGCAGCTTGTTTATATAGGTATTCGATTCCGAATGTGACAAATAAGGCTACACTACCGGGATTAGAGTTTATTAACCGTTGATAAGAAAAGAATGGATGGTGCAGATACCGATCACATTCCCAAACTTTTACTCAGCATCATTGTGTGATTTCGGATAATTCAAATTTCAAAAGAATCAAAAACACGAATAGTTCAAAGACTTCAACGAAATCAATTTTTTACACCCGAATGAATGATATTGGAAAGGATTTCAATTTTTAATTAGAAATAGTGCGGCTTAGCTTTTTTTATCCCAAAAAAATAGTGTTTCTTAGAGTCTGTTTGGTAGCACGAAAATCGACTGATTTGACTGATTCTGCTGAAATTTATAAAGTTCTGGCTGCATTGGTTGATACTACCAATTTAGGATTAATTGATAGGAATAATCCGACCTTCATCCGGTCTTCTAATAACAGTCCCTCTTTTTGATAATTCCATAAAAACCCAACCTTTATGAGTTCTCTTCTTTCTCCGGTCCCAACCTGATATCTACCGGTAATGGAAAGTTATTAATATATATCTACCGGTCAGACTTTTAATTAATACTCCTATGGCATATCTGCTTTCACGCTTCTTCCTCTTTATCTCTTCTCTGGTCTCGTTCATTTCATCTTCCTTCTCCCAAGTCCACGCCACCTGGTAAGCTTTCTCTCTTCCTTCTTACATCCACCGCACCTGGTAAGCCTCTTCTCTTCAGGAATCTGCCTCCCCCACTTTGGCTTCTTAACTTCCTCCTTCCATCGTTTCTCAATTTGACGCTCTGACGCAATCCATGTCGGTTCAAAAAGAAAAATCAAGAGATTGTGGGTCTTGTTCGACGAAATCAATTAGAGGAGTAAATTCGAAATTGAATTGTCACCATAGCATCAGTTCTGTTGTGAGAGTTGCTAAAAAGGGGAGAAATGTTGGGAGAAAGTTCCATGGCTGTTCTTTATGGCCGGTAAGTGTATTAATCTATGAATTTCTCTTATGTTGTTACAAATGGGCTGCAAGTAGGGTTCATATTTAGTATTACGAAGTGTGTTAAAATTTATGATTTTGTGTTTGCATCAGGATGAAAATTGTGGCTTCTTTAAATGGGAAGATGGTGATGATGCAAACTTGTCAGCTGAAGATGGACATGTCGACGTATACCAGAACAACTCAAAGATAATTGACTTAGAATTTGAGAATAGGCTCCTGGAAGAAAAGATTAAGAAGTTGAAAGGCAAAAATATAAAATTGAAAGAGGAAGTGCACCAGAAGAACAATCAAGTTCGTGAAATGTATTGTAAAATTTTAACTTGTGCAAGGAATGAGAAGAAGTATTCAATTTGTCTGACTCTTTCATGGTTGATGTTTGCCATTGTTTTTTTGTTCTATAAATAACTATTGGTGTAATATAGTGATGTAGAAGAATTCTTGTAGTGCATTTTCAGATTTGAAGTACATTGTGTATTAACTTTTATCCAATTGTACTGAATCATAGCCACAGTTTGTTGGGCTGTTGTTATTATTACTTTTGAAGCCATATCATGTTTTAATACTTATCGTGTTTCAGCATTTGTTAAGGTGCAGCAGGTGTTTCAGCATTTGTTAAGGTGCAGCAGTTTGACTTTTTTTTGTTGTTGTTATGGACAGTAACATGAAAAAACAGATTGTGTTGTAGAAATATGAATGTTTAGGTGCAGCAGGTGTTAGGTTTTGTGATGGAAAAGAACTGATATATTGCTTTAAGAAAATAACATCTTTTTCCACAAAATCATAAGCCTTGCCCTGCCTACAGAATGCTCATTGAATTGTACTTTAATGTTTAGTTTAGAGTTCTAAAAGATAATGGTATCAAGTGCTCGTATCAAATAGATTACATATGTTGTAACCTTTTAAAAACTTCTTAGAGCAAATTTAAATGATCTGCTACAGAAAAAAACAATCTCAAAATTGTGAATGACTGTTGTGAAGGTTTTAATTAATGACTGTTGGCTTACATAGTTGGTTCTAATTAAGAATTAAGTAGCCTCATCTCACTTTTGAAAGACATAAATTTAAAAAAACCACCATCATCTCTAACAAAACCTACATACTTATAAGTCAGAATAAATAAGTATAAACACAAACAAACTTTCATTTTCTGGCAGTTTGTGTTGAAATCAATTTTATGGCAGTTTGATTTCCACAATTTTGAATGTTAGGTTACATATTAGACAAAATAACAAGGCCAACTATTACATTGTATAATTCAATAGAGAACGACATGCAACTTCAGTCATTCACAATAACAAAAAACCCTGGATTGAAAATTTAAGAGCACATGATGCCAGTACATATGTCAAGAACAGCTAGTTTTCTCTGTTCACAAGCTTGGAGAAGTTAAAGTAGCCAAAATTACAAAACAGAGTACATGCACATGGCCAGATTACAAGTACTGAATACAAAAAAAACAGATCAAAAGATGGTCACAACAGAGATCTATGAATGACCCCATTATACAGATCTATCAATGACCATAGCTATCTATTCTACTATCGCCAAACTTCATGAATTTTTCCCAAAACTGGAACACTGACTTAGTTGTGATATAGTTGCTGCAGAAACTGGCCCTTCACTCACTAATCTTGCTCCTCCTGATTGACCTGGGACCTGAAACCAGTGAATGTGAAGTGTAACACATGCATTACAAATACTCATATAAAATACAAGTCGAAGTCAAAAACAACATTACATGGGTGTATGTAGAACCATCATTAGCAATGAATACCCCAAATCCTTTAGGTACCTACAACAACATTTTATAAGTCTCACAGTACAGAAAAAAATGTAAATGAAATGGTACACAATAAATACCTTATTTTTATCCCCAGTTCTATCTTTGCCTCCTCTAGATTCCCTCCCGCCTCTAGATCCTCTTCCTCCTCTAGATCCTCTCCCTCCTCTGATGACTCTCCCTCCCCTACCTAGTTTGTTAGGTTCGGCTGTGGCTGAATGATGGTTAAGTGACTCAGTTGTTGGTTTAGAAGCTTGGGGAGCTTTTCCGTCATTTCTTGGCCGACCCCTAGCTCTCTTAAGTTGAGGTTCTTGGACCACAACTTTGTCTCTGTTTGGACACCTTCTTTTATTGTGGCCTTTAATCTGACAAATGCTACAAGTCATCTCCATGCCATGTCTAGTCAGCTTGCCACTTTTTTTGGGGTCTTCAAATGGGTCCTTTTTTCTATTACGTCTTGGTCTTCCAGGACCAATTTTTATTGGAGGGGGGTACAATGGGCAGTCAATTCGTGGCCAGTGCCTCTCACCTTCACAAGGGGGAATAAATCCCGCATATGCCCTCAAGTAAATCTCCCTCTTATAGCAGCCCTCAACATAGTCCTCTACCTCTTGATGTAGGAAAAAAATGCATGCTATTGCATGACAACATGGTAAACCCGTCATATCCCATTTTCTACATGTACATGTCCTAGCTTGAAGATCAACATTCAGACTATCTAAATTCATATTCACTTGGAAGGTGTGAAAGGTGGATGGCAGAACATCACAATATGAAGCTTTAGCTTTCTCAAGTTCTATTTTAGCTTGAATCCTTGGGCATAGTAGTGACTGTGCATTCTCCATTTCCTGCCTCTTCAGGACTAGTCTTTGCATTAATGCAGCTCTTATATCCTCCAACATGTAAATAAGATGCTTTGTCCTTGCATTTATGATGTAGCCATTAAATGTTTCAGCCATATTGTTCGTGATGGCATCACATTTTATACTAGTATTCATAAATGCTCTACAAAAGCACTTAGGATTGTAGCTTAGAAATGCGGTAGCAGCCTCTGGATTTGCTTCTGCCAACTCATCAATTGCCTCGTTATAATCAGCCATGTTATACGCTTTAGCAATTTTCCAAAACTTCAACTTCATGTCATCTCCTCTGTTTGATTTATGCCATAACGCAAAAATATGTCTTGCGCAGTGTCGGTGTTCAGCTAAAGGAAGAACTTTTGAAACCGCATTCAAAATAGCCTATGAAGTTCACAAATAATTCATAGTTAATTAGTCAGAAAGTAAATGAAATGAAATGAAATGTGATGTAATGAAATTATCACAAAGTAATGACAAATGAATACTGATAATAATAATAATATCTTACTTGATGCTCGTCTGAAATAATTGCTATATCTGCACCCTCTCCCAAGTCTAGACACCTTTGAAGTAACAAGAAGAACCACTCCCATGCCAGATTATTTTCAGCTTCTACGACTGCCCATGCAATAGGATACATTTGGTCGTTACCATCTCTACCTATTGCAGATAACAACTGCCCACCAAGGAAAGTTTTTAGAAAACAAGCATCCACACATATCACCTTCCTACACCCCTCTTTCCATCCTTTTTGTAGCCCCTCAAAGCACGTGAATAACCTCTGAAATACTGGGGCAGAGAGGTTGTCTTTTTCATTAGTGACCAATTGCAGTTCACTCTTAGGGCTGGAATTTTGTAAAGCTCTTAAATATCTCCCTACTTTTCTGTAGTGGTCTTCCATTGATCCATGCAGCATTTTATGGGAACAATACTTCACCTTATACGCAAAGTCCCTTTTGATGACTACTTTGTATGCTCTCTTGACGGTCTCAATGATCTCTTTAGCTGGCCAGTGGGGTCTTGCTTTAAAAACATCAAGAAATTGTTTTGCAACCCATTTAGACTTTAGTTGTTTGTTCCTTTTCATATTTCTATGACAATTGTGTTTCCCTACAACTGTCTTTACCACAAATGTGGCTCTCCTAGAATCCCAAGAGGAATACAACTTAAATGGACAACCATCTACGCATCTAACCCCCAACCTTTGTTGCCTCTTTTTGTTGCTGAGAGCAAAGCTCAAATTGCGCCCTTGTAAAATAGCAAATTTTGTTACAGCCTTCTTAAATTCCTCCCGAGTAGCAAATCGCTGACCCGCCTTCCATTCAAACGTTGAGAAGTCAATATCTGTACTAACAAAATCAGCACTTCTTATTTTCTTCCTCTCCGCTAAGTCTTCTTCTGCACTCTCTGGGGGCGTGTGGATTTCTTCCTCACTGTCCTCATACTCACTTAAATAACCATCTTCTATATTACAGGTATTATGTTCTCCACAAGAAAGAGATTTCATTTTCAGACCTTCAAGAGTACCTTTTGCTGCTTCTTTTTGAAGTTTTTTGGCAATTTCAAACAATTTGTTATTGCAATCTTTAACCCTTTGCTTTGCAGCTCTATATTCATCATCACTAGCTTCCACTTCACCGTCACTCAAATCTTCATTCTCCCCATCGAATAAGAACTCACTGGCTTCAACTTCATCTTCCGCACCTTCAAATTCAGCTTCACTTTCTATTTCAGCTTCACAATCATCATGAATCTGTGTTTCTACCTCATCATCTATAACTCTAGAACCAATTGTTTCATCTATATTTGATGGTTCTGTGGCAGGTTCTGTGTTCAGAATTGGTGGTAACATCAGCACCATTTCAGGTTGATCAAGGCCATGCAACACATACATATCCAGGGACCTAGCTTTCAGTAGTAATTCACTCATTTGTAGTACCTCTTTATCATTATAAACCCTCCTCAAGCCGTTATCCAAGCTCAGTCCAGGAACCAAATACCATATTTCATCAATAATAGTGTAACTCCCACATTTCTTTGCCAATTCCTCAAGCCAAAACCAACACAATTCATCAACATCTACCTCAAAAGTCATACACTGTCCATTGAAGTAAACTAATTTGTCTTTTTTTTTCTTAAATGAACCGCCATGCCAAAATTTCAAACAAACATGATCCATTGTAGCCATTAAGACCTACACATTAATGGCAAACATATATAGCAGTGAGTTCTAGTTCATTTATTCAGTTTTACATTTGCACATATGAAACTGTCTTTATATTAGTAGGACCTAACTAGACATGAGTCATCATGATTAATGACATAATAAACATGGCAAACAACAAAATGAGTAAAACATGTGATGTGTATTCACTATTACTTAAAAAAATATTTAGAGTATCTACCAAATTTCAAATGACATGGGTTTGGCATTTCATCAAACACCTTATAGGCAAATAATAAAGAAGGAATTTAAAACTAGTTAGGGATTATTATCTTCCAATGGACATACAACATTGAGAGTTCATACAATAATGGGATACCTACGTGATCAACAAATGATATTGAAGAAAAGTGATCTTGAAGTTGGAAATTTCTCAATCACATACTCACATTACGGGAGTTCATAAATACTCAAACTAAGGAAAAGATTTTATACTTTATAGTTTAGAGGGATTTTAAGTGTTACCTGTTATCAACCTAATGGGAATGGGAACAGGGTCGTTGTCCAACATCCAGAGGCGTCATCACCTTCATATTCTCCGTTTCAGTTTCGTTGTTCTACGTCGAGGGAACCCCAGCAATCTTTTGAGTAACTTTGTTATAAAAAGGGTAAAAAATGGTTTGGGAAAGATTTAATTGATCAGGTAGAATTGAACGTAGGTTTATAAAGTTTATCACTTCTTTAACCGGTTGCAAGTTATAAGGACCAAAGAATGAAGAAAGAGCATAAAGGTTGGGTTTTTATGGAATTATTTATAAATGGGACCGTTCCTAGAAGACCGGGTAAAGGTTGGATTATTAGTATAAATTTTTCCACCAATTTAAGAAAAAATTATTTTTAAAATATACTCCCTCTGTCCCTAAATTTACTTCCATTTCGCTTTTCTATAGTCAACTTAAATCACTCTTAAACTCTTACTTTTTGTATCAAAACTTTATGAAAATTGATTTTTTTTTTGCAGGCTTTGTAGCGGGTTTAATGTAGTTTCTGAATATGTAAATTTTATTTACTAAAAATAATCCGAGTTTTCACATGGATCATTTAACTTTATCGTCGGTCAACCTTCGTAATCCGCAATTGGAACAACATTCAGGGACGGAGGGAGTATTTATTAATAAAATAAAAAAAATTATATGTAAAAATAGTTAAAATGGTCCCCTACTGTAACTTCAGCCAATACAGCCAGAAAAGTAACTTCAACCGTACTTTTTCTGCTTATTACACAATTCAGACCTGGAAAACAAAAATTACGTGTTCGGTGAAAAAGTTGGGAGATAAGCCGAAAAACAAAGTTGTCAAACGGCTCTTATTCGGCTGATTTGCTTTGGTGTGTTTGAATCCAATTTGATTTAACCGGGACTGTATGGTAAATGTCTGGTTTCTGTGTATTTTATACTACGTACTATGGATGTCTGGTATGATCTGGTTTGTTTAAATCTGATTTGGTCTAGTTTAATCTGTTTAAGTCTGGTGTGATCTCGGACCGAATACCAACTGTAATTACTAATGACTATTAATTTATTTAACCATGAAGCTTTCTTGAAAAAATATACAAAAAAACAAATTTAATTACTCATTAATATTTGTTAAGTACTAATAAAATTTAGAAAAGAAATATATTTAATAATTACTAATATGTATTACTCCGTATTATTTTGCAACGGTCAAATCGGCTTGTACCTAAATAATCCATGTTGACACCAAGTATTAATAGGGGTGGGGCGCGGTCCGGAACGGTCCAGTAATTTAGCAAAACCCGTAATGTACCCGTTAGGTTTCTAACGGTTCGGTACGGTCCAGTTCTAAGGTTGGAACCATTCGGTACCATGTCATTTCGGAACGGTACGAAACGGTTCGGTACAATGTTAAACACATGACAAAACATTTGGACAAATCTTGCAATTAGTATATATCATCATACCGGTTAATTCACATGAAATGTTGATAAAAATACAAGAAAGTGCATACTAAATACTAGAAAAGAATCAAGAGGTTGACAGTGTTGTACTACGCATTTAAATTCGCAAATACTCAAATAGTGCAACACAATTAAGTAAAAATATAGCAAAACAATGATGCACTAGTATAATATCATCTTTATTAAATTCATGTGAAAATATAAAAGGAATATCATTATATTGTTAAAAATAGTAGAAAATTTTAAAATTCTTCTTCTTTGTTCTAAGTTGGATATTGGTTCTAGTTTAATTCATACTTCAACCGTTAGAGTTAAGATTCAGACCATACTACTTAAGTTGTAAAACTACGCAAATATGATACAACAAAACGTCATATATTCTACATCACTATAAATTAATAGTCATTAATGATTTTTAAAATTTTAGCATTCTTTCATTATATATATATACCAAATATAACATAAATTATCTAAAAGGAAAAAATAATAATATTTATATTACACACATGTATCTATTTTATTGATGCATGAATAAATACTTAGGTTATATAATTGTTGGTCTAAAAAAGATATTTGTTGGTATTGAAAAATATAAAATCTGAAAGGCATTATTTTAGAACGGTTTGGTCCGGTATTTTTCGGTTCTCAAACTCTAGGACCGGTCCCGTACCCGCTTGAAACGGTACGGTTTCGGTTCGAGATTAAATTCTATAGAACTGTTTAAATACCCGATATTCGGTTCGGTACCATTACGGGCCGGTTCGGTTCGGTTTTTATGCCCACCCCTACCAAGTAACATTGAAACTTGAAACTTTAAAAAGTTTGGATCGAACGGATCGATGTGTAAGTAGCCTCGTCTAGATCAACCTGTTCGGTTCGATTCAGTTTTCAATCTAGACCAGAATATGTCCACCCTGCTCCCTAGTTGCTCACCGCTTATCAATAAAACTTTTTAATATTTGTCATTTCATCACTATTCGGTTACTTTTTAATCTTTCAATTCTTATAACTTGTTTATTTGTATTCTAATTTAAAAAAAAAAAGAAAAAAGAAATATATCAAAATTTATAATCCTTATCACGATTGCAATATTTTATAATCTTTCATGTGATATCACTACTCTAACATTTATAATGAATTTTTGCCAAATGATAATTTTATTTGTTATTCCAACGTTTTATAATCTTTCATGTGATATCACTATTGCATATGTAAAATATAAAACTGGTAAAATTAAATAACTATAAAATATTTTTGTTTTTTCAATCTGGTATATGTATTTATTTTATAAAAAATGAACTATGAATAAAAAATTATAATAATTTAAAAAAAATTCATGCAATTGGTAAGTTGGTACGGATGGGGTGATGTTCACCCTCCTTGAAGGGGTGAACAAAATCAGACTCAACTCAGAGAGTGGATATATAGCTCGTGGTCCATGCATACTATAGAAAGGAGTGTCACCACTACAAATTTTCACCACTTTTAGATCTCCTTTGATAATTCTGGAATTGGGAGAACTCCATCGAAACTAATGAATTTCTGAATGAAGCAGTGGAATGGATTGAATCTATTACTCCGTATTTTTTTCCTTCAGTGCTGATCAGATGATCCACATAAAGTGGGGTAGGGCCAGGGAACACACTTCCAATCTACCATGTCAAAAAGAGAACCCCATTACGGAACTTAAGAAAACTTCATAAGTACGGTGCATACGTTATGCACCGCTTACGGATTTTGAACCAAATCACGCATCTTTTGTCCATCAAAGAACCACATCACAAGATGAGGAGTTGGAGTTCTCATTGGGTGATCGGTTTTAAAAAAGTACTCTTGATTCTCCACCGATTTTTTCAGATCTTCACCAGATTCGGTAGTCTATCCATGGTATCAAATTGTAACTAGCAGCTTGAACTCCTTCGACCAAATTTAGAATGTTGAAGCCTAGTGAAGAAATAGTTTTGTGTTACTGGATGTTGAAGCTTGAAGAAATAGTTTTATGTTTGGAAAGTATATTGCCATTTCCTTTGCTCTTCCGTGATGATTGTGGATGTTTATAAATCATACAGTTTTTTCATATTTGGTCTATCCTACAATAGCAATGGACAAATTGGACTTAGATTAAAATTGGGTTACCGATCTTGTATTTCTTTTGTGTGTTAGTTTCCGAATCCATTTTGATCATTTCAGATGTTTAAATCATTGTTGAAAAAAACGAAGTCAAAAATGAGGTAGAAGGTAAGGGGGGCTTCAAGTCAAAACCTACTAAATCACAAAATATGCATAATGAGTCATCCTGGCTACATATAAAAATTCAGAAGATCATCCTAATCAAAAGGGATGGAATTCAGATAAAATACCTCATAAATGTCCCTCTCAGTCACGTGGTCATGACTTCCAACAAAAGCGGATTGGGAAGACTTTGAGACACTTCAATTCTAAATGATATGATTCAATCAATATTCTAAGTGGTTAGAGTATAGTATTCAAGATGACAAAACCATTTCTTTAAGTTTTTACTTGTTTAGAGAGTATTTTTAAAGTCGTGGTGGGATGATGCATTTGTAATTGATGGTTTTTCAAGTTTGAACAAATTAGAGAGATTAACTTCTCATGTGGGTGAAATAAATAGTTTTCAAAACAAAGCCACCAACAGAGACACCAATACCACTTGTATTGAATGTGATTAGTGCTTCTTATAAAATCGGCGCAAGAACAAGTTTGGATAAGGAACTTGCGCTTCAAAGACATGGAAACACGTGTTGGGGTTCTCATTACAAAACACTTTTACATTTAGTTGAATTGTTTCCATTTGTTGTTGAGGTTCTTGAATATATTGAAATTAAAGGCATTGATGGTGTAAAAAGACGTCAAACAAATGACCCTTTGAAATACTTTCAGTCCTTTGATTTCGTGTTCTACTTACAATTGATGTTGTTTATCTTGGAACTCACAAACTCTTTGTTAGCGGCTCTTTAAAGGAAAGATCAAGATATACTCACCCCTATGTCATGATTAGTACAAAAAACTAAGCAACAATTGTTAGAAGTCAGAGTTGCTGGTTGAGGTTCTCATTTGGTAGAGATCTCTTCATTTTGTGAGAAGTATGAAATTTCTATGTTTGACATGGAAGCAAACTTTGTTAACCCGAGACGTTCAAAACAAAGAACTAATATTTCCAATCAGCATCATTATGAGTATGAATATTTTAATACTGTTATGGATTCGCAAATTATAGAATTTGATGACCGGTTTAATGAGGTAGATTCTGAGTTGCTTACTTGCACGACCCGTTCATGTCCCTTGGGCCACTCTTCTTAGTCTAATAGCCGATCAGACCAAGACTCCCCCAAACGATTGGCGTGAAACCTCAGAGTTGGTGGGAAATGCATTTAATGCACCAAACTTGGAAGATTTTATGGTTGTGGTATATTCATGTCACCCCTCCACCTACTTGTAGTATAAATAATTGCATTTATTTCATTACAAGGGTTTAACAACTTTGTACTCTTAAGCATTAAACTTCTTTCTAGCTTTCTCAATATCATTCAGCTTAGTCTAGAGGGTCGAAGCGTCGTTTGGCTGAGGTGTTGTAACCGTTCTACGAACTTGAATAGTATTGGATTCCACCCTGTCTTCTAATTATTCGTTTGGTGCTTGCTTCCTCATCAATTTACCGCATTAATAAACTAATCACCCATGAAATTTCGACGAAGGGCGAAAGACTGTGTTGGGCCTTTGGATACCGAGGGATAAACCTCAACACCCGTAAAAAAACATCT